CTCTCTCCTCATTGGAAAAGAAGATAACAGAGATCAGATATGAAGACTAGCCTGAGCCAGTTTTTTCAAAATGCCTAGTGCCTGAAGTGGCCCAGAACTACAGATTGCCATGACTACAGTCAGGTTCTCCACCCAGCGGGGAGGTGGAGCCTTACTGCCCTCTCTATACTCATTCCCAGTGTAGTATGTATGCCCAGCCCTCAGGGGCCTGCAGGGCCCAGGCTCAGCTTAGGTACCAGATCAAACCAGCCTACCTTGTCCTTTCCTCAACTGACCCAAGACCTGTGGGGAGGGGAGGCTCTAGATTGGGGTACACTTTACAGTAGCGCTTTTGTCTCCTGCAGGAAGCCTCTCTCCGCTTCACGCTGCCAGGCTCAGGGGCCGAGGGCCCCGCCAAGCAGGAAAACTTCATCCTGGGCAGCTGCAGGTGAGCTGTGTTCAGTAGAAACTTGGGGGTGAGGGGAGCGGGGAAGGGGAGATGGGGCACGGACTCCCAGGGTTCCTGAGGGAAAATGACAGTGGGCAAGCTGTCTTGTCAGGAGCTGGGGAGGGAGGTGGAGGGTAATGCGGCAGCAGGTGCTCCTCTGATCCCCAACTATTGTAGCACAGACCAGGTGAAGGGCGTGCTGACCCTGCAAGGAGATGCCCTCAGCCAGGCGGTGAGTGCCCCACCCTTCCCACCCACTCCCTCCCACCAGCCAGCCAGGATGCCCCTGGGCAGAACCCTGGACCTCTCAGAGTCTGGTTTCCTTGTATCTTAAGGTGCCAGCACCCCTCTGCCTCTGCTAGGGAGGCAGGAAGCTGCTTGGCACTTAGCTTAGCCTGGCACCAGGACCCAGGATGTTGTGGGCATTGGCAGGATTAGGCTGGCACTGGCTCAGTGTCAAATCTACCATCAGCCAAGCTGGGGCTTGGGCCTGCCCCGGTGCTGGGCAGCAAGGGGAGGGGAAGTCTCTCCCCTCTGTCGCTTCAGTCTATGGGCTTACAGCAGTTCCCACTGCCCGATCAAGGGAGGCCACCTTCCTCTACTTCCTTGTTGGGCCTGCATTCCTGTCTCCTCACCTCCCTGTTCACCTCGAAACAGTCAAGGTGTCAGGTGTATACTGTGGAGTGGCTGGGGCCTGAGCCACCACCATCCCCATTGTGCCTGTCCACTCCCCCATCCCCTCTCTTACCCGGCCCTCTCCCCCTCGCCCCCCCTCCGGCCCAAGGACGTGGCTCCTGCCGGCTTAGCCTGCTCTTACCTGTCAGGATGTGAACCTGAAGATGCCCAGGAACAACCAGCTGCTGCACTTCGCCTTCCGGGAGGACAAACAGTGGAAGCTGCAGCAGGTGGGTGACCACTCAACCCCGCCCAGGCCGGGCCAGGCCACAGGGCAGACAGCAGCTGTGTCCCTGGCCTCCGGGGCTGGCTTGTGGCAAGCTGAGGAGGCCGCTTCCTGGCAGTGCCTGGGGCAGAGAACATGCCCTACCTGTGCATCCTCTGGCCCAGGGGACAGCTGAGGGTCTCCTGAACCAGTCAGCCACTCACCTGGGGCCTGGGCTCCAAATCCCTAACAGTCCTTCCCAGTTCCTTCCTTCCCAGCTGACACACACACACACACACACACACACACACACACACACACACGGACAGGACCTGTGCTAGCTGTGCTAGTGCCACGTGGACACACACACACACACACACACGGACAGGACCTGTGCTAGCTGTGCTAGTGCCACGTGGAGGCCCCGGAGCCGGCACTGTCCCTCGGCTGATGTGCCCCAGCAGACGGTGGGTGCTGTTTTCAGATCCAGGATGCCCGGAATCATGTGAGCCAAGCCATTTACCTCCTCGCTAACCGGGAGGAGAGCTACCAGTTCAAGACAGGAGCCGAAGTCCTGAAGGTATGCAGATGTCTCCTGGGGCTCCCATGGCCAGGCCCACACCCACATGCCTCCCTACTGGCTGCTCCTGCCCCTGAGATAATGGCTCATAGCCTATAGGTCTAGAATCTGCCTGGTGCGAGTCCCCTAGCCCACTCTGACCTCAAATCACCTAGCAGTAAGCAAAGCAAGCAAGGTGGCCCCAGCAAGCGCTCAGCAGGTTCTGGCTGCTCTGTGGTAGTCCCCACTGAGGCAGTAAAGGCCTTTCATTACAAAGCAAGGTGACAAGGAGAGCACTAACGCCAGGGGCTCCTGCTTTAGCTCCATCCTACCCCCCCCCCCGCCTCCCAACTTGCTGTGCATCCTTGGGCTGTTTACTTGCCTTCTCTGAGCCTCCAGTGCTAATTGTGTGGCCGTCAGGAAGCAGTGGGTGCTGAGACTCTGGGGAATTAGCCCAGGCTTTGCCCTTGTGGCCGAGGGAATGGTAGGAAAGGCCATCTATGGCCTTGCCATCCACCCCGGACCTCAGCAGGCCCCCTACGGCTGCGGTGCGCACTGTGGCTCCCTGGTGGGGGGGGGGGGGCCGGAGGCCCAGCCCCCTGGGGTGCAGCAGTGTCACCCTCCCCCAGCTCATGGATGCTGTGATGCTACAGCTGACCAGAGCCCGCAACCGGCTCACCACCCCGGCCACCCTGACCCTGCCCGAGCTGGCAGCCAGCGGCCTCACGGTCAGTACCCCTCGGCCAGCCCGGCCGGCCCGGCCCTCCCCCCTCCCCTCCGCCACTCGTTCTCTGGCCTCCATCTTGCATCACCGTCCCTCCACTGCGGACCCTGCCTGGAGTCCCTGGCCTCTAAAGCCAGCAGGACCCCACGCGCACCTGGGGCTGGTGGTTATGCAGAGGCCTGGGTGGGGAGGGCCTCACCCCCCCCTCCCCCCTTTCCCAACAGCGGATGTTCGCCCCCACGCTGCCCTCCGACCTGCTGGTGAACGTCTACATCAACCTCAACAAGCTGTGTCTCACGGTGTACCAGCTGCACGCCCTGCAGCCCACCTCCACCAAGGTGAGCCCCCTCCTGACCCCCCACCCAGAGCACCCCCACACACACGCCTAACTGACTCTGGTGCTTCTGCCTAGAACTTCCGCCCGGCTGGAGGTGCCGTGCTGCACAGCCCCGGGGCCATGTTGTAAGTACAGGGGGGGGTGCCTCCCCACTCAGGCCTCCCCCTCCATCTTGGGCCCTGCGCCCGCCCCCGCCCCCCCACAGCCAGCCACCTCTCCTTCCCAGCGAGTGGGGGTCCCAGCGCCTGGAGGTGAGCCACGTGCACAAGGTGGAGTGTGTGATCCCCTGGCTGAACGACGCCCTGGTGTACTTCACCGTCTCCCTGCAGCTCTGCCAGCAGCTCAAGGATAAGGTGGGGCACTACGGGGGCAGGGGGGGAGAAGGGAGGGAGGGGAGGGGGGAGGAGGGGGAGGGGGAGGCTGGGGCGCTTGGGGTCCCTGTGGACAACTCCACAGGCTCCACCCCAACACACCTAGCAGCTAGGCTGTCTGCCAAGACCGCTCCCAACCCGACCCGTGGTTAGACCTGGGTCAGGGAGGGGAAGGCGCTCCCGCTGGACATGCCCAGTGCCCGCTAGACAGGCCCCCTGTCTGCTGGACACGCCCAGTGTCCTGGCCATGCCCCGTTGTTCTCTGGGGCATGCTCTGTCACCCACTGACTGCCCCTCTCCCTCTGCAGATCTCCGTGTTCTCCAGCTACTGGAGCTACAGACCCTTCTGAGCTGGGCACCACCCAGAGCCTGTCCCCCAGGAGGGAGACGCTGCCTGTGGAGTCCCATCCCCCCCAAATCCCTTGTGGCGCCTGCCGTGGCGGGCACCATGGGTTATTTATCTCCCTCTTTACCCACCCTCCACCCAATCGCACTGCACTACCTGGAACTGGGAAGAGCACTGGACCTGGGTAGGGGCACTGGCTTGGTCTTGGGGTTGGTGGAGAAGGCGGGGCTCCTGCCTTCTGCACATCCTGCACTCAGGGTGGTCCAGGCCCAGGGCTCTCTTGCCTCTGGAGGCCACTGGTGCACCTGAGGTACTGCTGGAGGGGAGGGGAGGGGCGGGGAGCACAGAGCAAGCTGGGCATTAGGACTCAGGGATGGAAGGAAGAAGGGCCGGCAGTGGCAGCCGCAGCCGTACTGAATAAGCACGGTGCTGGGGTTGTTCTGCAATCTGGGTCCTCTAAGAAATAAAGAGCATCAGAGTTTTCCTGGAGCCCTTGTCTCTCTTTCTAAATGGGAGTCAGGCTGGGGGTCCTGGGTATCAGTGCCCCCCTGTTCCTGGGGGTCCTTGGTGTCAGTGCCCCCTGGCCCTGGAAGTCCTCAGTATCAGTGCCACCCCTGTCCCTGGGGGTGCCCGGTGTCAGTGCTCCCCCCCGTCCCTGGGGGTCCCCAGTGTCAGTGCCCCCCATCTCTGGGGGTTCCCGGTGTCAGTGTCCCCCCCCGTCCCTGGGGGTTCCCGGTGTCAGTGTCCCCCCTGTCCCTGGGGGTCTCCGGTGTCAGTGTCAGTGCCCCCCGTCCCTGGGGGTGCCCGGTGTCAGTGTCCCCCCCGTCCCTGGGGGTCCCCAGTGTCAGTGTCCCCCCCGTCCCTGGGGGTCCCCGGTGTCAGTGCCCCCCTGCCCCTGGGGGTTCCCGGTGTCAGTGTCCCCCTGCCCCTGGGGGTCCCCGGTGTCAGTGTCCCCCTGCCCCTGGGGGTCCCCGTTGTCAGTGTCCCCTTGCCCCTGGGGGTCCCCGGTGTCAGTATCCCCCCCGTCCCTGGGGGTCCCCGGTGTCAGTGTCCCCCTGCCCCTGGGGGTCCCCGGTGTCAGTGTCCCCCTGCCCCTGGGGGTCCCCAGTGTCAGTGTCCCCTGGGGGTTTCTGGCATCAGGCCTTGAACTCCTTCCTCCCTCAGCCTGCCACCCGCAGGCAGACTGTGCTAGCATGCCAACCCGTGACTGCCAGTCAGGTGGAGGCACCAGGTCTGTCTGGGAGCTCAGCAACCCCTCCCTCGCCCAAGCCCGGTGACCTGGAGTGACACGCCTCCCAGTGCCGCCCTGTGTGCTCGCAATGCGCGCCCTCGGGGCTCAGAACAGTCCAGACTCAGTTTCCAGCAAACACAGGCTTTGTTACGGCCACCCATCCACATGTGCCTGGAGGCTGGCGCTAAGGTTCCAGGGCCAAGTTATCCATTCCCCTGGGTTTTTCCTGTGAGAGGCACAGATCGGTGGCCTGTGGGTGTCACTTCCCAGTCTGCCAGGCCCCTCCGCAGACAGCCCAGTCCAGCCCTGTCCCGTGCAGGAGGCAAGAAGGTTCCAGGCCCCCACCACTCCCCTCCTCCTGGGCTCACCTTCCCGGAGCTGGTGGAGGGGCAGCAGCAGCGGCAGCAGCAGTGGGCAATGACCAGGAGCAGCAGCAACAGCACGGTGCCTGGGGACAGATGGGCGTCCAGATGTGAGCCCTGGCCAGGCCGCCGGGCAGGGCTGCTGAGGCCTGCGGCCCACACTCACCCACGAAGACCAGGAAGACCACGAAAGCAGCCGTGTCCCATTCCGACTGGAACAGCTGGCGGCTCTTTATCTTCCCCAGCACTTCCTGAGCCGTGGCCTCCAGCTCTCTCCCCAGCTCCTCGGTGGACAGACCCATCTTGGCAGGAGTCACCTGTCCCCACCCCCAGAGGCCGCCTCAGAAGCAGGGCCTGGACCCGCCTCGGCCCCTCCTGCCCCAGCCCTGCTCCTCGCTTGGGCAGCCCCAGCCACCCTCCTCCTCCCTCTGTCTCTCCAGGACCCCACCTGCCTCCCGAGACCTCCACTCCTCCAGCCAGGCAGATCCCAGGTCCTTGGGAGCTCAACCTGCTTCCTGCTTCCGGATCCACACCACCTGCGGCCTTGGCAACCAGCCCCGCCCTTCCTGGGCCAACGGGGCTGCCTGAGCCAGCCCAGAGCCCAGCCCACTGCAGGGGCCCTGAGGCAGAGGGCCACAGGCCTGCCAGCCGCTTTGCTTCACGCCCCAGATTGTTTTCACCTCTCAGGAGGCCAGAGGAGCAGGTGTTCACCACAGCCGATTGCCTCTCAGAGGAGCACAACCCTTGACCTTAGATGCTTTAGTTTTTTTTTTACTTAATGGTATTGAGGATTGAGCTCTGGGCCTTGCACCTGCTACACAAGCACTTGAGCTACGTTTGGGTCCTTTTGTTTCTGCCCCAGGGTCTCTCTGTTCCTGAGGATGGGTATACTACCCAGGGGAAGAGAATGCATCCCTTGATTTTCGGCCCCAAGGTATGACCCCTGTCTGCCTCAGTCTCCCCATCTGGGAAATGAACATATCAACTGTGCCCACCTCCTGGGACTGGAGGATTCAGCAAGAGAGTGGGAGCTTTCTTAGCACAACAGGATGCCGTTAGCCTCTTGCTCCTGTGACTGGAGTTCCTGCAAGGCAGGCTTGCAGGACAGGTGAGCTTCGTTTCCTGGTTTCAGAAGTTCCATTCAAGGTCACTTGGCTCTGTTGTTTTGGGGGCGGATCATCACAACTGACCGTGACAGGACAGAACACGAGACCCAGGAAGGGCGCAGCCCTCAAAGGGGAGCCCTGCTTCTCCAGGCAGGCCCAACACCTTCTCCAGTGCACTGGCATATGCCCCGGTCAGTGGGGAAGGGAGAGCCTCCTCGAGGTTCAGTCATTTCCATAGTACATCACACACAGGGAACCAGATCCTCAACACAAGAGTTTGGAAGGTGGACATTTCCTGTTCCTGCCATGACAGATGCGGAGGGCAGATGTACACTTGAGTGTCTGTGCTGTCCCCAGCTTATGAGTGTGCATCCCCTCCAGCTTTCCCTTCCTGGTCCCCAGTTAGACTCCTATGCTCATCAGACCCTTCAGCCCTCAACAGGTTTATTTGAGTTTCCTCCTCCTCCTCCTTTTCTTGCTTCTCCTGCTTTTTGGGTAGTGCTGGGCATTGAACTCAGGGTCTTGCACATAGCTAGGCAAGCACTCTACCATTTGAGCCATGCCCCCAGCCCCTGTTGTTTTACATTAGGGATAGTGTCTTACTAAATTGCCTGGGCTGACCTACATCTTGCAATTCTCCAGGTTTATTCTCCAGAGTAGTTGGAATTCTAGACATGTGCCACCATACCCGGTTTATCATCTCAAATGGGCATAGTCTCCTGAGCAAGGATGAAGCAGAAGGGGGTGCAGAGGACTCCACCGGGAGGGCTTAACTAAGCCCCTGCCTTCAGTTTCAGCTCTGCCACTTCCTCCCTGGATGACCTTGAACAAGGTCTCCGGTCATCCACTCTCCAGAACCTGATGATTAGTCCATATTTTAGCATCCCAGGGCTCCTAGAACGAGGCCACAAGCAGGGAAATAGGAGGAGGGAGAGAGTTATTTTCTACATCTATCTCTTGGTTTTTCTTTTTGTCAGTTGTGGGGCTTGAACTCAGAGCCTGGGCGCTGTCTCTGAGCTCTTTTGCTCAAGGCTAGTGCTCTACCACTTTGAGTCATAGCACCACTTCTGGCTTTCTGGTGGTTAACTGGAGATGAGTCTCACAGACTTTCCTGCCCAGGCTATCTTTGAACTGAGATTCTCAGATCTCAGCTTCCTGAGTAGCTAGGATTATAGGCGTGAGCCACCAGTGCCCAACTCCTCCCCCCCATTATCCTCCCCCTTCTTTGGCAGTACTAGGACTTTTGAACTCAGAGCCTCATGCTTGCTAGGCAGGTGCTCTACTACTTGAGCCACACTTCCAGCCCTTTTTCCATTAGTTACTTTTCAGGAAGAGTCTCACATTTTTGTCCAGCATTAGCCTTGGACCAAACCCCTTCTGCCTATGCCTCCTATGCAGCTGACGTCAGGTACACACCACCATGCCCAGCATTTTTGTTGTTCAGATACATTTTCTGCCCAGTCTGGTCTTGAACTATGATCCTCCCTCCCTAATAGCTATGGTTACAGGACTAAGCCATCTTGCCCTGGATGAATGCCACAACTTAACACAATGATGCCAAGGATGGATGGATGGATGGAAGAAAAATTCATGAGTATGCTTTTGGACTGTGGACCCCCGTCCAGCTTTCCCTGGCAGGGGAGGCTAAGGGGTGTGGATTTAGGCTTGGCGCTCCCCTCTGACAGGAGTCACTAGCTGGCAGCTCTGATGGAGGGGATGGCTCTGGAAGCCTGGCCTCCACCTCTAAATGAGGAACCCTGTATGATCATGGTCAAAGGGGAAAGGGGAGAGTTGTTGAAGGCCTAAGGATCAGCTCTGCCCCCCCCCCGCCAGCTCCCACCTGCCTGGGTATGTGGCGGGGAGGGGAGGGGAGGGGGTCACAAGGAGGAGGAGGGAGCTCAGGTTCTGTGGCTAACTGCCAGCCTGCCCCTCCCCCTCTCCGCACACCAGGGCAGGGACTCAGCCACCAGGTGCCACAAGAGGCTCCCTGTCTCTTTGTCAGAGGCCATCTTCTGAGCTTGTTACAGGCTGGGCCTCTGCCTTTCCGACTCTCACTCTCTCTGCCCAGCTGTGTGTGTGTGTGTGTGTGTCCCTGTCCCAAGGGAGAAAGTGGGGGGGGGGGAGGACACTTACTTCTGAGCCTCTCCCTGGGATCCTTTCTCCCTCCCTTTAGGGTCCCCCCACCAAGAACTAAAGTCTAGTTGCAAGTCCTCTATCCCTCCAGGTTTGTCTGAGCCTTTCAAGAGGGTTGCCTGTCTGGACCTTCTCTGCATGGGGTTTGGTCTCCCCGACCTTGCTCTGGGACCGGGGAACTGAAGTAGCAGACCAGTGGCTGAGCCCCCGGTGACACCGACCTTCGGCGCCTCCTCGCCATGGACAGGCGTGACTGTGTCCCTTGCCACATGGACACCCTGAGGCAGTCCCCCTCCCCCTGTTCCTCCCGGCCCTCCAGCCCCAGGACCCCACCCTTCGAGATGTTTGGTCCTGTGGGCATCGAGGCCGTGCTGGACCAGCTGAAGATCAAGGCCATGAAGACTGGGTTTGAGTTCAACATCATGGTGGTGGGTGAGTGAGAGCAGGAAGGGTACGGGACGGGGAGCCGATGGACAAGATGCCGTGGCCTGGCCTCTCCCACACGGTCTCCCCAGGTGCCGAGGGCCTCATAGGTGTATTCCAACTGAAAATGTGGCCCAGCACCAGTGGCTCACGCCTATCATCCCAACTGCTAGGAGACTGAGATCTGAGGATCGAAGTGCAAAGCCAGTCCACCGGGGACAGTAAAGCCCCTGCCTGAGACTCTTAATGGATGACCATAAAGCTGGAAGTGGCGCTGTGGCTCCAGTGGTAGAGTGCTAGCCTTGAGAAAAAAGCTCAGGGACAGCGCCCAGGACCCACGGCATCCCCCCACCCCCCCGCTCCCGCCACACACACAAAATAGAAAATGGGGAACTATTGAATCATTAGACAGAAAATAGTCTGTAAAGCAATTATCTCAGCCAAGGGGCCAGGTGGGAAGGGACAGGGGTGACTCCTAGCCTCCGTTACTGGTGCTGCAGCTGTGTTGAACTTGTAACATTCATTTGAGACCAGGCTGCCCTTGAACTCTTGATCCTCCTATCCCAGCTTGAAAGCTGGGATTAATGGAATGCACCACCATGCGAGTCTATGGTTTCCTCTTGAGATGATGAAAATAATCTGAAACCAGGTACAGGTCCTTCTTACTTAATGCTGCTTTGTTGTGCTCTTTAACATGGCGAATCTTAAATTAGACATCTTTAATTTTATGTTATATGTTTTTAATTATTGGTTTGAGCACTGGTCCTGGGTCTTGAGCTCAGGACCTGTCCTAAAGCTTCTTTTTGCTCAAGGGTAGCACTCCACCACTTCAGCCACAGCTCTATTTCTGGCTTTTTGGCTAATTTATTGGAGATAGGAGTCTCTTCTACTACCTTCAACTTGAGATCCTCAGGTGTCAGCCTCTTAAGTAGCTAGGATTACAGGCACCTAGCTGTTAGGTAATTTTTAAGTCCATAAAGAAAAGGAAGGGGAAACATGGTGTGGAACATCTTTTTTGTCTATGTGATACTTGGGATTGAATGTAGGACTCACACTGGCTAGGCAGGCGCTCTACCACTTGAGCCAAGCCCCCAGCCTTTTGGGGTTTTGCTATTTCTTAGCTTTACTCTGAGGCAAGCCTTGGACCGTGATCTTCCTAACTCGGTCTCCCAATTAGCTGGGATTATGTCCTCATGATTCTTAGACACGAGTTTAGCGAGATGAGTTTGAGAGGGCTTGCCTTAACCACACATGCCCGCTGGTCACTCCAGGGCAGAGCGGGTTGGGCAAATCCACCATGGTGAACACACTGTTCAAGTCCAAGGTATGGAAATCGGCTATGCCAAGCCTGGAAGTGCCCACACCACAGACACTGGAGCTGCACTCTGTGAGCCATGGTGAGTGAGCCCTGCCCTGCCTCCCACTGTCCCACCCCACCCCTGCCCTGCCCCAGCCCTACTCTCCCCTTCCTCTCCTTCCATAGTTATCGAGGAGAAGGGCTTGAAACTGAAGCTGACAGTGACCGACACGCCCGGCTTTGGAGACCAGATCAACAATGACAAATGGTGGGTGAGGGTTGGGGGCTGACCCATGCTGCCCCTCTCCTGCCTCTGCCCCTCTAACCTCTGGGAGACACCAGCCTTGGAGAGGCCTCAGTTTCCCTGTCTATACAATGGATGCACTCAGCCCACCCTCACAATGGATGGGAATCTCCCCTCTCTATGGATCACAGAATGTGGTAACTCACTGGCTGGCTGTGGCTCATGTCTGTAATCCCAGCTATTCAGGAGCCTGAGATCTAAGGGTCATGATTCAAAGCCAACCTTGTCAGGAAGATCCTTGAAATTCTTATCTCCAAGTAAGCAGCAAAAAGCTGGACATGGAGCTGTGGTT